CGGTCACACTGTCCGATGCGACCACCCTCTGTGACCGTGTTTCCCCTCACATACGTGACAGCTGACTATCAAGGTAATAAACAGCAGTGTGAACCAAATTTCGAAATGGCGCAGTGGCACAGAGTGTCATGTGTAGAAGATCGACTTCGAACTCGAGCTCCAGAGATGCCGGGTTCGATTTCCTCCCTGAAAAATCTTTGTCGCTCCCACGAATTTCCTGAAAAAGGAATTTACTACACATTGCTTCAATACGGGGTTAATTGGTCGGTAAAGCGTAGGACTCAAAACCGAGACGCCATGGGTTCGAGCCCCGGTCAGGGTCACCTGCCTTTTTGCCTTTTGATAAGTGGGTTCCAGCTTGACAAATGAGTGGGAAAGAGGTAGGAGAATGCAGACCAAGCTCTGCTGCGATAATGCCTTAAAACATAAGGTAATTCTTGCTGAGGATATTGAAATGGATTGTCAACGCCAATTGTTAACTTCACAAAATAGTGTGCTAAAAGTGACCTCATCATGTAAAGGTAAAGAAGACCTTCTATATATGGCAACAAGCTTCCGCATTCCTTTCCTCCTTCGTAGGAAAATGAAGTATTTCCGGAGCCACAGTAAATCATACCTTTTAGATCGTAAGTACTTTTGTAAGTTATTAGTTTCGATTTCTTCAACTACTCCACAATATAACATTCGGCATATGCTCCAAAGAACAACAATAAACCGAAATGCGTAAAAACATGAAATAATCAATCTGGAAGTACCCAACATTTAAAAAAATGCTGCAATGCAAAATGTGACAGGTAAATTGAGCTAAGCAAAAACGCGCTCAGTTGCATTAATTTGACGAAAAAACCATTGACTAAATATACGCATTATAATTCATGTTTGAAAATGAACATTCAAAAAAATCTCGAAAACAACACGCATAATCTAAAACAGCTGGAGCAATAATAAACTTTTACAGTAATACACTTTTAGAAACGTACGGATTATCGTAATTAAATTTATATGAAAACGTACCCAAATTTTAAACCATTCGTAACGATAATTCGTTTTGACAAATGCATCTGTCTTCACAGTCTGTCGTTTTGAAATAAAACGGATCTTTATGTTTCAGGACAATTATCAAAGAGTCAATAATTTCGGCGTAATTAAAACAAATTTAAATATGCTTAAAGAAAGTAAAGTAACGAAGGAGTTCCAACCAGTAACGAATTCGCATCGTTGTAGGTCTCAGACTAGTTGAGAAAAGAGGAAACTTTGAGACATTAGCAAAATTTGGCAGAAAACTGATTCAACTTTCATGATAGTGCAACATCGAACGTCATACCGCCTCAGTCGTCACTTGGTTATCAAGGGCACTACGGCGATGACGACGGGTGGATATTTATAGTATATTTCACATCTTATGGTAGCTGGAAGCGCAACAGCAAGAAAAAGGATGCCAAAACTCGACAAGAAGGAAGATACCAGTCAGCAACGCGGCTACTGCCCATTCTCAATGGATGGAGAAGACAGTGCTGTCATTCAACGGCGAATTAAACTCTGCCTTAATGATACCGACATTAAGAGCGCAGAATCGAAAATTAAAACATTTTTTTTAATCAGACAATCTGAATAAGAGCGAGATAACAAAGTCGTATAATACAGACTGTAGAAAGCTGAACTCTCTTCGACGAGGCGCCAGAGTTCTGCAATTCTGAACCTCTGCGAGTGGAAGCTATTCTACTCAGGTGTAGATATCATGACGGGCGTTCAGGCCGGTGTTTGTGTTATTGTAGAACACAGCCTGGCTGAGACAATCACTGAATGGAAGCCTGTGAGCAGAAGGGTTGCAGTCATTTCAGCGAAGTTAAAACACAATAAAGCTTTGACGTTTTTACAGTTCCATGCCTCCAATTCACTTGCAGCATGTGACAACTTCATGAAAGAAGTAGAAAGTGCTCTGTGTTAAACGGAGACGACTGAATCCATCGTTCTAATAGAAAATTTCAATGCGCATGTCAGGGCAGACATCAAAAAGTGCAAAGTCTAGATTGCAAAGAACGCTGCTAGCGACCTCAGCAATAACATAATAAAGCTGTGGCGCACAACGGAGTGCCTTTTATTATACCTTCATAGAGCATCCAATCATGCATCATTATATGTGGTATTTAGAACCTCGTGCACTGCAATCAATACTCGATTTGATAATCGTATCATCTGACTTAAGACGCTCTGTGATGGATATGCGCCCTAAAAGAAGCCCTGTCAACCGATCATCACCATGTTGTTGGCACCGCACGCTACAAACAATGCACAACCATGGTAAAAATTGGCAGCAGAGGAAATCACAGAATCGAATGGGAAGCACTGTCATCTGTGGATGCAAAGGTCAAACTTAAAATACTATCGCAGGACAGTGTCACCGGATCCCGGTGATGTCCGCGAATGCGGAAAGTGAAGGGCAACAGTTTAACAGCAGCTTACTCGAGGCTGCAGCCGGATGCTACAGTTGAAAACAAGTTTGCCTGATGCCTGGAGATTAAAAATTGATTTCTTTGTGGATAGAAGAAGTTCAGTTGGCTGTCTACGGCTACAGTCAAGAGATAGCTTGGAAGCAAATACAATATGAAAAGCAGGCAGGATTGCAACTAAAACAGTATACAAAGTGAACCCTGATTCCGGGAAGACTTATCGATAATGGAGTCAAATTTCTAGGCAACAAAGGAGTTATCATAGCAGACCATCTACTTGTTCTTAATGGAAATTAGGACACTACGATCTTTGCAGGACAAGTAGAATCAGGTTCTTATCAAGAATGAGGTCAAAATTTGCGATGGAGGGAATATTTTGAGCAGTTCTTTAACCACAGCAACCGGAGGAATCCTCGCTTGAATAGCAGCAGTGAAGGCATATTCGTTTCTGATAAGCTTGAAATGTGGCAAAGCAACTGGAATGAATCTATTGCGTAATTCGTTAGCAATCCCCTTTGAGGTAGTTAAAACTCTACGGAAACTAGGCATCTGGAGGCCAAGGCCTCTATCACATTGCAGCAGCTACTGGAAAAACAGCAGGAATAGGAAGCTTGCCATATGCTTCCATAAACCGAGCTTTTGGCATTCTAGCAGAACCATAAAATGAATAACCAGTTGTTTCGAGCCTTCCCATTATGACTGCTGATAGCAAGTTCAGTAACAGAGTAACTGGCATTAAGTCGAGGTTATTTAAAGTAAGCAGTAATTTTCAACGAAATGTACAGTGTCCCCTCTCCTCTTTGTACTGTCCAGGGTGATAAGTGGGTTGGAATAAAAGACATCCAGACAAGAAGTTAATTGATAAATGTTTGAACGATTTATGGTTTACTGGAAGAAGTTAATTGTATTTAGACTTCCTGCTCTTCCGGGGTAGAATACAAATGTGCACTTGAAGGGTTTGCAAGCGAATCCGAGGTAGTCGGCATTCGAGTGAATGTGTCTAAAGCGTTAAGTTCACTGTTATCTCGTTCCCTTGGCCTCGGCGCTCCGCAGATAAACGAAGCAGCGGTGAAACACTAAATGTACTTATTTCATGATCGTATTTATCAGTGATAGCGTGTTGACACAGCTGTCTATAAACCTTGCTGCAACCACTGGAAAGTAGGTTGTTCGACACTGTTTGAGGACAGTTCTTATCTCATTTGCGAATTCCCTTCAGCAAGGAATTTAAAATACATTACTTCGGTCAAGGAGTGTAAAACAGCATCAATTGGTGCTGAGCTCCGGTCGGGGTCACCCGTGATTCTTCTCTTTAAGGTTGATATGAGTGTTGCTCTGTAGGAAAGAAACAGAACACTACATGCTGCGCTTGCCACATGACTATAGACTCTGGCTAAAAAAATGTAGCATTCCTGAATGATGGCGATGGCATAGAAACAGAGATCAGCAGGGCGTCAAAATGGCCAATCATTAAAGTGAAGGAAGGCCGACATTCCAACGTTGAGCAACTTTCCTAACTTCAAGCTTACAGATGATGACAGTTAAGAGGAAGAGAGCGAGTCTTAACGGTTGTGACTGAGGCAGAGCTATGTGAGAAGGAAACGCCGTCTTGACTGATGTCATTCCGCATGGCGATGTATCAGGATTAAAATACTTTGATCTCGCATACAAAAGGCTGAAATACTGCTACTGCGATGAATTGCCGGACATTCTGCTTCTGGACATAGTTCGTTGTTCAGATACTTTAAAAAGCTTTTATGTACAGCCGCTGCTTCCAAAATTGAGAAGTTACAGCTGCAATGGCTTGGGTAGATTTGACTAATACTTCCAAAACGGAAGTCGAAACGGATGCTACTTGGCCTGCCGATCGGCCTAAAAGCCCGGGTAAGTCCAAAGTGACCTGAGACAAGTGCCTCGACGGATTTCGTGCAGACTCGTTATTTTTTGTCGAAGCTCAGAAGCTCAGATCAGAAGCGTTAGTGAATATTTGCTGCTGTTCTACTGGAGACCGGAAAGAAGCGGCCATTGGAACTGACTTAAGGACGAATTATCTCCCTTGATAAAATGGTTAAATATATACGGCATTCTAAATATGGCCGCACTAAATGTGAACCTGTGAATTAATTCTGGTTTCCAAAGTTAAACTGAAGAATATGCATTCAATCGAAATATAAAACCGTTTGTTATTGTTCTTCAATTTTTCTTTTTCATTTAATTTAGTTGACTGCTACAGAATGGATGGCAACGACTGAAGTTTGAGCAACGTACTCTTTGGATAAATTGGCCTATTTGTACCGTACAGCATCTACCATGTTGAAACCGAGGCCGAGTTCGTTCGCTGACACAGATCCTGCTTCGCTGCTGCATTTCTGAAAAACATGCAGAAATTGCGAGCCAGTTCAGGGTTGCTGGACGCCATTTAATGATGCCGTTAAATTCAGCAATTTTTCACGATCGTGCATTTCCGGTAGCAGCGTCGGCCACCTGCCCGTCAATCGCTCTCAGCGAAACCGCGTTTGAAATATGCCTCACAGCCAAGCAGCTGTTACTTCAATGATCATGCGCATCTGGTTTGTGGGTCACGTCGTGTCGGTGGTGAGCAGCACCGCGTTCCCACTGAATCACGCAAACGTGACCAGTACTTGGGAACCACAACCACATCGGCGTCGCCGCTTTCTGTACACAAAGGAGTTGCGCCGATCGTACACAAGCAATCACAATACAATGAATGACCAGGTGAACACCGGCTCAAAGGTAGCGGAAATGTAAATAAACGAGGACTGTCCTGACAAATCACTTCATAAACCTCAGCTGGCGACCTTACCGTGCTGCATGACAAACGCAAACTGCAAGATCATTTTACTTGAGGTATCGAAGTATGGTGACTCAATTAGTTTTTTATCCATTCCTGCTTTTCGATCTACAACATTGAAAGTTCAATTTACGACCCACTTTCAAAATGATAAACAAATAACTAACAGATATAACTATTGAGTTCATTATAATGCAGCATAGTTCGTATTAATCACACAGAATTGTTGTATTGCTTAGCACCTAGAACAGAAAACCTCGTGACATCTGCCATGGCACGGCTATATCGAACTACCACTCTACCACACCGTCTCATACGGTCTGGAGGTATCTGGTAGGCTGAATGAACAAGTTTGTTAAAGGTTTTTGATTCACTAGATTTCAACACTTAGGAACAGAATTTTCTGTCATATATGGGTATACTTTTCGAGAAACTTCAGTACACCTGAAAAACTTTACCTTTTGTTCTTGGTAACTAGTTTGTAGAATTTTTGCCGCACTCGAAGGTCAGCTTTCAGAATGTATCTTGGCTTGTAACAGGAGATAACCAAGAGGAACACTGCCACTAACAAAGATGTAGGTACGTGGCGACAACATCGATTAAGCCTGCAGCGACACATCTGTGAGACAAAGCACAAATGCGCCAGCCCGTAACAACAGACGGTCTCACTTGTGCATTGCCGCTATTATCCATCGACAATGACATGACGACGAAGCGGCGCTGAGCGCTACGGTGATTAGTAATTAATTACACAGGGCCGTGATCGGCATCACCGAATCAAGTCGGAGCAGCACACCACTGAACTTTGCTGACACCTCGCACGCAACGGTCAACGTCAGCCCCTTGTTTCCTTCAGTGAACGGTACATTCCTTTAGTAAACAAACGACAATATCGGACGAAAGCACTTTACACAGCTTAGTCGAGCTGGTGTAAGAAGTTGTTACAAGCTGGGCGACGATTACAGAACTACCTCGTTTTACTTGACAACAAAACTTAAACAAATTTTAGACGAAGCAAACAAACTATACACAAAACTGGCAATGCGAACTCTGCCCAAGTAAACGACATAAAAACGAAAATATAATCATAAAAGAAAGACAAAAAACATCAACGAAATATGCACAATTGAATGAACGAAACGACATTTACTCACAAAATCAGTTAAAGTGGCGAAGAAACGATAAAAGCTGGCCAACGTGAAATCCTGAAAAATTCCGAACTGGGTCGGCAAGGAAACTTCTGATTATTTAACAATTTAGCAAAGAGTCAAATACAATTAAACGAAAGGAGATACAATAAGGCTTTCGTTTATAACAGGCCCAAAAATTCTTTTGCTCTCCTTGTCAACTCTAGCTGAACAGAAGTCTGGCCACAGGCGATTTTATACCATTCTGTATTAGACTGAAATTAGAAGAGAATGCGTTGCAAAAAACTCCTTCTGTTGATAGACATAAATTATACCTTCTCTTGGCGCTTTTCTGCATTGCAAAAACTTTTCGCTTTAAAACGATAGTGTCGTTTCCTTCGATGATTATTGGACGCCATGAACAAATCTTTCGAGATAATTTCACGCACGTCCTCAAAGTCAGGCGGCTAAACCATCCATACGTTAAATTCTGCTGAACATCCAGTAGAAGCATTCAAAAAACTTACACTGCGCAACAGTTCCGTTTCATATATTCGTCCTCCCCTTCTCTCGACAGCTGCGTAGGCTTTCTTGAATGGAGTCGGTGTTCTCAAAAGAAGCGCTTTCAAAGAGTCTGCTCCGGTACCTTTCCATTCAGCATTGCGACTTGCAGCCGCCTCGCAAGTGTACTCCCTGAACAGCGTCTGCAGTAGCACACAATTCGTGCTGTCAGCAGTGATGACCAACTTACTTCGGAGTGTCCAACGACTGCAGGTCTTCTGCCCTTCGAAGAGATTGTGTTTCGCAGTGGTGAACTACCAATTCATCATTGTATCGAAAATGACTGGCACTCGTTGCCGACGTCGGCAGAGGCGTTGAAGTGAGGGCCGCTAAGCTACCGTTAAAAAATTCATCCGTAGAAGCTAGCACCTACAAATAAGTTATGATTTAACGGACCCCGCTATAGGAAGCAAATAAATAAATAAACGAATAAAAAGCAGCCGTCAGCTGAATGTCTTTATGATTCACACGTTTGAAACGGTTTTGAAACATCGCGCTGATGCATGTAAACACGAAGACGCACG